AGACAAACCATAAGAGACTCTTACTCTCAGGAAACAAACTGAGGGTTGCTGGAGTGGAGGGGGGTGGGAGGGATGGGGTGGCTGGGTGATGGACACTGGGGAGGGTATGTGCTATGGTGAGTGCTGTGAATTGTGTAAGACATGAATCACAGACCTGTACCTTGAAACAAATAATACATTATATGTTAATTAAAAAAAAAAAAAGTTGGTCTTCAACTTGCCTAAACACCACAGCCTCACGGTAGGCAAGAGACGTGAGACCGTCTTTGTTGGTGGAGAGGGGGCGCGGGAGGGGCAGCAGGCTGGCATTCCCGTGTGCACTGGCCTCACCCTGGATGGAGGCTTTTTCTGGTGGAGTCTGTGGCTGGCATTGCTGGGGGTCACACACAGCCTGGGGCCCTGCCACGGTGCAGAGGCCCGAGTGCCAAACACAAGCGGCATTCCAGAACTCACAGAAGGGAGAGGCAGTGGCAGGGGGTGGGTGGAAGCAGCAAGGGTGCAGTGAGCAGCCAGTTCACACTCGCAGCCACTGGGGGACTCTATAGATGGCTCTGGAAGGCCAGGGTGGGCCAAGACCTGTGTCCCAGTCCAGAAAGCAGCTTACGAGCAAAGAGGAAACAAAATGTGAGCCATGGGATCTCGGAAAGCTTAGAGACCACTCCCAGTGCCAGGGCTGTGGCCGCAGGGTGGTGTCTGGAAAGGCCCTCCAGCGGGGAAGGACAGGGGCCCAGGCCTCCCCCAGGAGCATCTGCACGGTTCCGGCACCACTGGACTCTGCTTTGGACCAACACAAACTAGTGGGCACGTGGCACCTAACTCGAATCCCTCAGCTCCCCGCTTGCCCGACTCATGGAGCCACCTTGGGGGAGGCCGAGGCCCAGAGGGGGATGCAGAGAGCAGGGGGAGATGGGCGGAACCCAGCCTGGGGGCGGCGCGGGCTGGCCAGTGCCCCAGCTGACCAGAGTGAAGGAGGTCGGTGGGGATGAGGGGAGGCCCAGCTGGGCAGGACTGGCTGTCCCCCGAACCAGGTCCCAATCAGAAGCCCTCCTCCCTGCCTCGGGGTGGGGGGGCTTGTGGGGGGGGCAGTTTCCCTGTTGCCGAGTTGGGCTAAAGCTCCATTTGGGTCCAGGAGCAGCTTTCCCACCGTGGGAAGCTTAGCTGCGTCAGTGCCGGGACAGCCCTTCGGTGCTTCTGGCAAAATCTGAACCAATTCTTGTCTTGTGTTAGCTTAGAGGTCTGAACTCGTCCCTCGTCCTCAGTGCCTGAAGCAGGGCCACTCGCAGGGCTGTCTGTTCTGAGAGCGCTTGGGGGACAGAGGCCTCCCCTCGATGCCCAGCGCCCTAGTCCCTGCACTTCTGGGGTGCCCATCCCTGTGAGGCCAGCCGCCTGCGCCCCGGCCTGGCCGCTGCCCTTCCCTCTGGTTCCTTACTCTGAGGAGCTTTCGAGAGCATTTCCGGGCCTGGCAGTGTCCTGTGTGGGGGCCGTTGCCAGCTGGGCCTCCCCCCACTTAGCCGCCTTGCCTCACTTTCCTTGATGTGTACAGCAGGGTGCTGCTGGCCTGGCCTGCTGCAGGTGAATTCCTGCTGTGCAGTGTCGTGGTCCTTCCATGACTCGGATCCTTGCTTCCAGCACCAGCACAGCCCCAGCGTGGCCGTTTGGGCTCTGACCCCTGGCCCGAGTGTGCCCCAGGGTCCCTGAGATGCCATCTGAGCCATTCCTTGCTTGTGGCCGCTCAGGCTTGGATGTCACCTGTGGCCTTGGTGCCCCCCCCCCCGACCCCCACGGCATGGGGCTGGGGAGGGCCACCCAGCCTGTGGGCCTCATGAGCTGGTGTCCGAGCCCGCTGCCCTGTCTCTGCCCTGTTGGAGGCCACCCCGGCGTCTGGGCTGGGAGGGGCGGGAGGGGCGCTGTCCCAGCTGCGCTCAGAGCTGGGTCCTGATACTTGGTTGTCTTCCGTCCTAGTGCCCGAGATGTATGCAGTGTGATGCCAAGTTTGACTTTCTCACCAGAAAGGTGAGCTAAGGCCATCGGGTGGGGGGCCCAGGCCAGCATCGAGCCCCTTCTGGGGTGGGGGTGTGTGCACCTTGTTTGTCCTGGCATCCGCCTGAGGAGAGCAGACTGTGACTCGGCCCTGGGGTCCGAGTGCGGCTTGCACACCCGTGTGACCGTGCCAGGCGCTGCCACACACGTGGGTCTTGCCCTCCGAGGAGGGGGTTGGCCTGGCGGGTGGGCAGCAGGACGTGAAGCCCAGTGGCCCACAGGGTGTGGGGCAGCACAGCGGCCCGCCGTGTGCGCAGCCGTCGCGGCGACCTCATCCCTCTGATGGCAAAGACCCTTGCGGGGCCAGTGTCCGGCGATGGGGGGGGTGGGGGCGCCCGTCCTCTGTCCCCTCACTGCCGCCCCTGCGTCTGCAGCACCACTGTCGCAGGTGTGGGAAGTGCTTCTGTGACAAGTGCTGTGGCCAGAAGGTGCCGCTGCGGCGCATGTGCTTCGTGGACCCCGTGCGGCAGTGCGCCGAGTGCGCGCTCGTGTCGCACAAGGAGGCCGAGTTCTACGACAAGCAGCTCAAAGTGCTCCTGAGTGGTAAGCCTGGGCCGCCTGGGCACCACTGGCCCGCGAGAGCTCTGTCCCCACCTCTCCGGCTCCCTGTCCAAGTAGCGATGGAACTGCTTTCCGCGGGCGGGCGAAGGGTCTGCCTCCCCAGGGGCTCCGAGCCCGAGCCCCCTCCTCCCCGGGGCCCTGCTGTGCGGCTCTGCTGGGGCAGCTTGCGGGCCTTCTCCCCTGTTCCGGTCCTGCCCTGGCTGCTTCTGGAGCCTGTGGGTGGAGGGCTCTGTGCTCTTGGGTCGGGGCCTTTGGGATGGAGCCCCCAGGGCCTTTCAGGGAAGGACGGAAGGTCCTAGAGCTTTCAGAGTGCACAGAGCCTCTCCCGACAGCAGCGCCTTCTGCTCTTCCTCCGTCACGGCCTTGCTGCCCCACTGGGTGGACCCGCGGGCGCAGCCACAGCCCTGACCTCGCTTGGATTCACTTCGTCCTGGGGGCGCGTCCCCCTGGGAGCTGGCCTCGCCTGGCCAGGGAGGGTGAGGCGTGAGAGGGGCTGCTGTGTTCTCATGTCTGTTCTTCTGTCCCCAGGAGCCACCTTCCTCGTAACTTTTGGAGACGCCGAGAAACCAGAAGCAATGGTTTGCCGTCTCTCCAACAACCAGAGGTAAGAGGCAGAGTGCTGCCCGGCACGGACAGCTTTGTCACTTGGACCCTGGGGTGATGTGGTGTGGCTGCTGTGTTCCCTAGGTACTTGCTTCTGGAAGGGGACAGCCGCTACGAGATTGAAATCGCACGCATTTCCACCGTGCAGATCCTCACAGAAGGCTTCCCCCCCGGGGGTAAGTGTAGCAGGAGGTTTGGTGCGAGTGGGGGGGGGGGCTTCTGGAGAGGACGCCGTGGCCTGCAGGATGGGGTCTTGGGTCTCTGAGGGGCCTGCCCGTTGTCCTCTTGGGCTTGTGTTTAGTAAGTGTCTTCAGAAACCTGCCAGGTAAACGGGGCTGAATGTGTCCAACAATGAAGAATTTGCCCGAATGTGCCACAGAAAAGCTCTTCTGTCCTATTGTTGGCCTCACACCGAGGATAAAGCTCCCAGTGCAGTTGGCATCACCCCTGTGCTCAGAAGGCTCTGAGTGGTGGCTCATTGGGAACTAGCCCTTCTGCTCCTGTCAGGTGTCTGTGGAAACGAGATCCCCTTATGTTTCCTTGGTGAGCTTCCCGAGCATTTCCCCCTGGATCTTTCCACCTCGGCTTCTATGCTTTAGTAGCTGTCTTTCCGTGGAAGTAGAGTCTGTGTTCCGTGTGGTGCAGAGTGTGCTGAAAAAAGTCCATGTGACTGATTCCTTTGCGCTTTGTTTTCTGATTGGCTCTTGGTTGTTCTTCTCTCCTGCCTGCCTACCTTCTTGACGTAGAAAAAGACACTCACACTTACACCAGCCTCCTGGGGAGCCAGCCCGTCTCTGAAGGTCAGCCACACGCTATGCACCGCCCTCTCCCGCCTGCCGCACCGCGGCTGTGAAGTAGTCACTTGTTCGGTTGATTTGAAAGAGGTTGGGCCCAAGATGTGGGTATAAGCAGCATGACTGGAAGTATCCTGGCATCCGAAGTGGAGTTTATCCACTCCGTTTCTCAATCCCAAGGGGGGGCAGCTTTACCCAGTGTTTCAGAGCTGTGCGTTAGCATTTGCCGGCCCCAAGCTGGCCGAGTCTGGGGGCAGCGGGGTGCTGTGGGGCAGCGGGGTGCTGTGGGGCAGCGGGGTGCTGTGGGCGGCTGCCCTCTAGGACTTCCCTGCGCCTTCACAGCCAGGCTCACTCTGCTCCTCCGGGAGCCTCGGCCAGCTCTGCGCTTCCGTCTGAGTCCCCGGATGGGGAGTGTTCCCCTGCCTCTGTGCCCCAAGCACAGGGTGTGTGCGTTGGCAGCACACCAGTTGCCTGGGGCAGATGGGAGTCGAAGACACCAAGGTACAAAGGGCAGGGCGTGGAGAAGCTGGGGGTCAGCCCGGGTGCCCCTCTGCCTGCCTCCTGTTAGGGAGTTGGGGTCGGGGGAGACTCAGGAACGCACCTGGTCGGAGCCCCTCCCAGGCCTGGTGAAGCCTCGTCTTCCTTGGCAGGGCCCTGGGGCTTCTGGTGCCGCACACCCCCTTCTGGCAGTTTTTGGGGTGCAGTGAGCCCTGCTCTGCCAGAAGTTTTCTAGAACCTTTGGAAGCCCAGAACCCTGTGTTCCCGGGTGTGGTACTGTTCTGAGCGGACGGCAGTCAGAGGTGCTGCCAGGTAGTCGGTGTTGGCTTTGCCGGCTCCCTGGATGCTCACAAAGTGCAGAAGCGGCCAGGGGCGACGGGCTGTGTGCCAATTAAACTCAGAAGAGCAGGGGGTGGGCGGAGCTGTGGTTGGCGTGCCCCCTAGTGGGAGTGGGCACTCCTGCAGGGATCTGGTCAGGGACCCACCTGGAGACACGCACAGATGGAAAATGGCCTCCCCGGCCTCAGATGGGACAGCACTTTACTGTTGCCATCGTACGGTGGCCAGGCCCTCTCCGCCGTCCGCGGCTGCTGTCCACAGTCCACGGGTCTGGGGGAGAGGCAGGCTCTCAGGTTTGACTCTGAGATCAGTGTCTGATGGAAGGAATCTTCCATGAGGTGGATTCCTGCTCAAAATGGAGTTTTCATCCTCAAGTCACAAAGTAGGAAAGCTGTAGGTGGACTTCACCCTGAGGCTTGGTCTGCGTGGACTTCTCGGACTGGTCGTGACAGCGCCGGCCCGTTCGTGAGCGGTGGGTTCTTGAGCGGCTGGCCCCGGCCTGAAGAGGGCCGCTCCCCGCCATGGCATGTTTGCAGGCGCTCACGCATGCGGGTGGGGTGTCGGCACGTCTCTGCTGGGCCTTTGCTCGCACTCTCCGTCCCCAGCGGCGGGATGGCTGCGAGGCTGGAGTGATGGCCCGTGTGCTCCAGGCGGGCCCTGCGCTCCGGCTGCAGGCGGGTGGGATTGGTATGCACGGGGAGCCGGCCGGCCTGGTTGGGTCTTCCTGAGCGCAGGAATCCCCATGGGGGACTGGGTGTCGCAGCCTTGTCTCACTTGGCTCAGTGATGTGGTATGGTGCAGCCCGGGCCCTGGAGGGCCAGGCCAGGAGACTTCCTTTCCCACCCTGTGAATTTGGGGTCATCCACCAGAAGGCCTCTGGAGCACAGGCCCCTGCCACCCGGCCTCCGGCACCAGTGTGAGGGGTGGGATGGCGGGTGGAATCCTGGGTGCTTGGGGTCCCCATGGGCCTTCTGACCTCGTCTCCCTCCTCCAGGGGGCAACGCACGGGCCACAGGCATGTCCCTGCAGTATGCAGCACCAGGGGCGGAGGGCATGACCCAGCTGAGGCTGACGGCGGGGGAGGATGCAAATGCCAGCAGGAGGCAGTCGACAGCGTGGCTGGCGGCCATGCACAAGGTACCTGGGCTGAGGTGGGCAGGGATGGGTGGGGTGGGGTGGGGGGCCTGGGCCCTTCTGCTTCACGTGCAGGCCCACCTTTCCCAGAGGAAGCCCTGCCCTCCAGGGAGGGGGTGCCCATGCCAGCTCCAACCAGGCACAGGACCAAGCACGCCTCTCTGGTCATGTTCTAGGCCACCAAGCTCCTCTATGAGTCACGGGACCAGTAACTCCACGCAGGACAGGCTGTCAACATGGAATCGCGGAGCCTGCTGTCTGCACGCACAGGCAACTAACCCTACACGTGCTGGGAAATGCAATTCAAGTGTTTGGAGAAACAGAAGTGCTTGCTTATCTAGTGCAATATGCACAGTTTATTAATGCTCTAAACAGCTTCAGGCTTTAGAGTTGGTGTATTATCTTGTTGATACTTAATTGGAGGTGGGAGAGATGGCATTACACTACTGGCTAAACTATTTTTAGCATAACTTAAACCATGTTTTTATGGGTGCCCAGGTTTACTAGAAGGTTCTGGCCCCTCAGTGTTCACTCTTGCACCGCGATGACTTGGGCAGCGGTAACGCAGGCCTGCTCTGTGCAGGAGCCTGGCTCTAGGGCGCCACTTTCCATTTGCCCGAGCCCATTTATATAGACTGTTCACTTGCTGCATCACTAATTTGGGGCTACGAACAAACCTTTGATACTTCACTAAGGGGGAAGAGCCAGCTTTGCTTTTTGTACTTTTCACTTACTATTTCACTTTATTAAAATAATTGTACAACAATTTGTATATAAAGCTTATGATTAAAACCTATTTTGAAAATACGGATCAGTTCTGCCTCACTGTGTCCAGAAAAACTTGAGCTTTCATGCTGCAGCTCTGTTCTGGCTCCAAAACACAAGACTCACAGCCGCCGGTGAGAGACAGCGGTTTATTGTGCACATTTACAGGGCGCAGCAGGGGGCCGCCAGCACCAGAGGCCGTCCGCAGGGGCGCTCGTGTTTCATCACCACACTGTGTACAATCAAAGCTTCAAGGTGACTAGCTACAGCAGCGGGTTTATACATAAACTATACACAGGACTCATACATGGAAAATAAAGCCTAAGGGCCTGGATTTTAATGAGAAAAAAACATTTCCAATATCATTTTGGTAGTTGCGAATGGTCTAGTCAAAAAATACTTTTGGTATAGAAAAGTCTGTACGTACAGTTCAAACGAGTCTGGACTGGGCAAAGGTTATTGCATCTTGGCTGGCCCCCGCCCTCCCGCGCAGGCACCCCCTCCCCCCAGTCTGCTCCACCCTGGCCCACCTGAGCAGCAAGAGGCTGCAGGGAAGGCAGGGTGCTGGCTGGAGACTCCTGACTGCCTGTCCCTTGGTATTAAGGGCCCTGGTGCCTGGGCTGTGCCAGTCTAGCCCAGCACCACCAGCCTGTATGTAGGTGACCTACACCAATGCCCGGGACACACGCACCAAGCACCACCACTGATAGAAGTTTCCATATGGAGGCCCCTTTGGTAGGGGAAGGAAGAGATGCATGTGGTAAGAGTAGGAAGGGCGGTGGGGTGCCAGGACTTCCAGTGACAAAGCGGGCTCGAGCCGGGGGCACACCTGACTGCGATTGCAAGTTTTCAGTGTTGGGGTGGGGGTGACATCGAGAACGAGGGACGGCCTTGGGGCCAAGTCAGTAAGAGCGTTCGTCTTCACTGGCAACCAACCAGGAAAATTCTAGGGATTCTTATTGGCAACAGGGACAATTGTTTAGAAAGCTGGATATTTATTTGGATTTACAGTAATTGGCAAAATTCAGTCTTCTTGGAGGCAAAAGTACCTCTCCCAGTTATGGGCAAACTGAAGAAAGGGCCTCACCTAGAAACTGCAGGAATTTCACATTGTGGATGCTGTCTGCTGAAGTGAGCACCATAATAAACCATGTCTAGCTTCAGCTTTCCTGGAGAAACAGCAGAGCGGTCTCTCTGGTGGCTCCTCGGCTGGCAAGCCCGTGCAGTGCTCCAAAGGGAAGATCAGGCTAGCGTTCGCTGTCGGGGTTTGATCCGTGGGTACAACTGGGAAGCAATGGGAACAGTCAGGACGAGGCCACGGCATGCTGAACGGAAGGGGCGCCCAGAGGGCCACACAGCTGGCTGCCCTGTCAGGCTGACACTCGGCGGCCACCCACCATCTGGGGTCCCAACTCCCTCTACGAGTTGTACCCCACTGCAGGACAGCCTCTCCTAGCACATGGCACCACCTAGAACCCATGCCAATGGCTCTAAGTTCCCCTCTCTGCTCCAGGCCAGCATCTCTGGTTCTCGGTCCTGTTCACTTCGGCAGAACGAAAGCCGCATCCGCCAGCCCCGCCAGGAGTGTGGGAGGAGCGCAGAGGCACCTGCTCTGCTGAAGGGCGGAGGGCAGTTACAAACCCAACAGAGGTAGCAACCCACATGCCCTCCCCCCAACCCAGAGACGTGTCGGGACCACAGAGAGTTGTGATATGGGCTGCTCGCCAAAGCTCCTGCATCAGGGTGCTCGGGGGTCCCCAGCAGGCACCCCTGCAGCTCCCACGGTGTGAGTGCGGGACCTGCCAGAGCCTCCTGCCACCTCTGCAAACTCACCCACTCGCAGAGGCGGTGCTGAGGGCGGACAACGGCCATCTCCTACCACCATCGCCCTGCAGGATCTGCCCCCACACGGAGCCCCGGGGCGGGGAGAACGGGATGGGACCGCCGGACTGACAAGGCCAACCCCAGAGCAGCGAGCTTGCAGTGCTTACCCCCAGCAGGTTCTTGGGCACGTAGCCCTCCCGGTCCCCAAGGCGAGCCCACCACCACTCGGTCTCACTCTCGTCCTTGCGCCGCAGGATGCTGATGGCATCCCCTTCATGGAAAGACAGCTCATCGCTGTTCTGGGCCTCATAGCCCCACAGAGCGTACACCACTCCTTTGTTCATCACGCCCAGCTTCTCCTGCACCCCTGGGATGAGACAGGGAGCGTGCGGTCAGGGGGCCCTGTCCCCACCCTTTCTCTGCCCGGCAGGCGTCATCCGGCTCCTGAAGTGCTGGGGCCGGAGGCACAGGTGTGCTGCTAGCCGAGGCGCTCCTTAAGGTCAACCTTACAACTGCCACCTGGAACAATTCCCAAAAGTCAACTAGGAAGCCACCTGACTGCTCCTGAGTGTGGGGAGCCCCCAACAGCGGCTGCAGAGCTCCGCGCCCCCGCACCACAGCCACCAAGCAGGCTCCTGCCTGGAGTGACTGCGGGGACCTGGAAAAGAGCCGGGGTGGGGGTGGGGTGCGGGCGATGGCCCTGACTACTTCCTGCCGCCCTCCTCCTGGCATGGCTGTCACTGTGACTGTGGCCTCGGGGAGCTTAGGGCCCACTTCCGTTTGTCATGGCGTCCCCAGGGTCAAGGGCAGGGCTGGGCAAAGTTAGGTGTGGTGCAGACGACCCGCAGCTGTTTAACCCCTGGGGCAGAGGTGCTGTTCCAGCTCCCAAAGTCTGATCCCATGCAAGTGCCTTAATTAAACCAGAACGAGCCTCACTCCTCAAGCGGTGCGCTCCTCACTGATGGTCACCACAGGACAGGGACGGGGGGCTCCCACCCTGGAGCACCCTCGGCTGTACTTCAAGCCCTGGTGTGCCCCAGAAATGGACAGATGGCTGCCGCCCAGCCCCCTATGCCCCCCAGCTGCTCCACCCAGGGGGGCCATTGACACAAAGAGAAGTTTGTTTTTAGAAATTTGGCAAGAATCTTTCTGACAACATGGATTTTCAAACATGTTTTTAGGAATGAGCCTAAGGGACAGCGTGACTTCCATTCTGATGAGACCTGGGGTGGGGGGGCTGCTCCCCAAGCAGAAGCAGGCTTCTCCCCGCGCGCGCAGCACCACGCACACATCCGCGCCTTGCCCAGGGGAGGGACCTGCGGCTCGGGCCGCCCGCGCGCCCACGTACCATATAGGAACTGGGAGCACTGGATGTAGCCTTCCTCCATCTCCTCACACTTGTCCGCCGCAGTTTCAATGTCACTGATGGTGGAGGCAAAAATGGCGGCGCCGCTCTCCACCAGCTGTTTGCAGAGGTGGACACTGTTGCAAGAGGCGGCGCAGTGCAGCGGTGTCCTGCAATGGAGGGCGGGTGAGCGCGCCGCGAGGCACTGCCCAGGCCGGCCAGGGACCTCCAGGGGCCCCACGGGCTTCGTGCTTGGTCTTTTTAATGGCCTGGTTTCTCCTCACCCAGTGTCTCAGACTGCACGCGCACTGCTGAATGGGCCGGGGCCCCAAGGGGCCTGAGGAGCAGCCCGCAGCGTGCCCCGCGACAGTAGAAACACATGGCGCGACGCTGCATGTGCCCTTGTGGGGCAGCAGTGGAAGGTGTTACGTGTATTTTGCCACAATTTAAAAGACCCAGATGTTCAAACCCCACAGACAGGTGCCTGAAGTTCACAACAAAATCTACAGGAGACCCAGGGGCCTGCCCAGCAGCAGGAGGGCCCTCCGGGCAGCCACGCAAATGTCCAACTAAAGCAGGACTCTGAGTTTCCTTTCCATACGGGTCATCCGACCATTTAAAACCAGACGAAGAGGGGCGACAGGGTGGCTCAGTCGGTTAAGCGTCTGCCTTTGGCTCAGGTCATAATCTTGGGGTCCTGGGACTGAGCCCCACGTCGGGCTCCCTGCTCCGCGGGGAGTCTGCTTCTCCCTCTCTGCCCCCCACAGCTTGTGCTCTCTTTAATAAATAAAATCTTTAAAAAAATATAAAATAAAATCAAAGAGTAAAAATCTGCCAAATGCGCAGCCCACACCATTAATAATCAGGTACGTGCAGCAAAGCATGACGAAAGCTGTGCCTTTCCCAAGAGAACCCAGAGAGCTGGTGCGGGCAGCCGGACGAGGCAGCCTCGGGTAAGGTGCTGCGCGCAAGCCCATGCTTTCCTTCCTCTGCCCCTCCCCAGGTCCTGACGGCTCGGGGACGCCTCCTACTATAGACCGAGTGCCCCAGGGACCCTCACCAGCCGTCGCTGTCAGCGGCGTTCACATTGACCCCGAAGTCCAGCAGGAACTTCACGATGTGGTGGTGGCCGGCGCAGACGGCGTTGTGTAGGGGGGTGATCCCTTCGTCATTGGGCTTGCTAGGGTCTTCCACCTAAAGACACAGGGCGCTTGTGAACCCCAGCTCCCAGCACACAGGGCAGCCCTGGCCTGTGGCTGCGGCTCAACTCACCTCATAGATGATCCTTTGCACCAGGTCGAACTCCCCTTCCAGAGAAGCGTCTAGGAGCAGTGCCAGGGGATTGAATCGGACTCTCAACCCATGTCCCGTCCTCTCTGAGTTCGGTTTCTTTAGGTTGGTCCGTTTGCTCTGCCGGGAAGGAAGCACACTTTTGATTTAAAGGTCATGTGCCAATGCACCCAGCCCTGGTGGGAAGGAGGGACAGAGACGGAAGCTGGGGCTAGTGTGTGCACCCAGCCGTGCTGAGCAGCCCCTGGCATCAAGAGGAATGCCCACTCGCAGGGCCCCCCCAGCGCGCCCTGGGGGAGAGCAGCTCAGGGGCTGGGCCTTGGCTCGTCAGAGCACCCATGGTGGGGAGGGAGGTGGGTGACAGCCAAGCTTGGGAGTCAGCAACTCATTTCTACCAACTACAGCAGACTCCCACTTTCCCCTCTGCTCCAACACTGACCTCCCACCAGAGAGACCTGTCTAGAAGGTTCCTCTCGTGGCCTGCCCTTCAAATTCCAGCCGCAGCTTTCCTTCCTGGGGGAATCTGACTGGGTCCTCAGAGCTCTGTGGCCCCAGGCACTTCTCCAGAGCCCCATCTGTGTACTGCCATACTCTCCTCCCCTCAGCCTCAGGGGCGGCAGGGACGAGGGCCCGGCAAGCCCCACCGCCCCCAGCACTGTGGCTGATGCAGGCAGGTGCTCTACAAACACTGGCTGGCTGACTAGGAAGCCGTGGCCCTGGTATAGGATGACACCCACCGTAGAGGCTCCTGGTGGGGGCACAGCGGGGGGCAGTGCTGGGGGAGCTTGGTCTTCCCCTGGTGAGGGGGCCTCGGCCCCAGGGCTGGGGACCTGCTCTGTGGATGGGGCTGTGGCCACGTTGTTGTTGTCATCCTCGGCAGGCTCAGCCGTTTGGTGGGTGCTCTGGGGACAGGTGAGGCCCTCTGGTTCAGGGGAAGGGAGCTCGTTGTCATTGGCGTCCGAAGATGGGGCAGGCTCAGTGGGGAGCGGGGCCGTGGGCTGGGCAGGGCTGGCCTCTCCCAGGTTCCCGTTGGTGGTGTTTCCATTGTCCATGTCAGCCAGTGTGCCCATGAAGTCCTGCGAGGGGCTGGGCTGGTAGAAAGGGGTGCCCTCCATGCCCCCCGCCAGGGTGTTGAAGCGCTGGTAGAGCAGCTTCTGGATGTTGGGCCCGCCGGGGCCCTCGGGCTCCGTGATGGAGCTGCGCTTCTTCAGGGGCCGCGGTGCGTTGGCCAGCTTCCGGCGCAGGGCCTCCAGGTCGGCGTCACTCTGGTAGCGCAGTGGCGAGTGCACGATGGGTGTGAGCTTGGTGGGGCTGAGCGGCCGCGGCAGGCTCTCCACGGTGCCTGTGCCGGTGCCGTCTCCGGGGGGGGCCGGGCTGTCCTGCTCGGGCTCTTTCTCGGTGCTTTCTGAAGGTGGCTGGGGCTGCAACGTGCTTGGGGCCAGCGCCCCGTGAAGAAATGGCAGCGGCGACGGGGACGTTGAGCCGGAGGGCAACACGGGTTTGCCGTACACTGGAGGAGACACAGAGGACGGGGGCAATGGAGTCCTGTCATTGCATGGCCGTGGTGCTGAGGCCTACTCTTCGATCCCCCAGGAGCCCTCTGATCAAAGACCCCCCACCCTCCCTGCTGACTCCCTTTGGAAGACAGAGTGTCTCTCTCACTGGTTTTTACATTTGGACTTCCAGAGTTTGGGGTTTTTCAAATGAAAAAAAAAAAAAAAAAGATGGTTGCAGACCCAACCTCCCCACCCCAAACCAACTCTCCTTGTTTTCTGGCCAAGGAGGAAGACACCATCTCTAAATAGCATCTGATCCTCAGGCTCAGTCTCACGCTGTGGAACATAGGCCGCCTCAGACAGGAAGGCTCTGCCCGCCGGCCCAGGAGCTGTCGAGAACAGGGCCAGAGCCCTGCCACAGGGTGAGCAGGGAGCTTCCGCTGGGGCTTCGGGTGGCTGGGCACTCCCAGGAGTCTGGAAGCTGCAGCCTACACCCAAGAATGTGTGAGGAGGCCCGAGCCCAGCTCTGACCCACAGGACCCTGCTGTGCAGGTCACAGTCACTACCTGCCCCGGGATGTATGAGACCAAGCTCTGTTCTCTCACCTGCATCCCCAGGACATGTCGGCTCCTAGGGCTCACTGCCCCTCACCACGCCAGGGCTCTTCTCCCCTGCGGGCACAGGGGTAGGCTACCCCAGCACCAGACACACCCTTGCCTCAGCCTCTGCCAGGTGGCCAGGAGGACCACATCCAGGCAGAGCCCCCCCCGGCACCCCCAGCCCTTGGAAAGCTTCTGCACATGTTTCCACTAAGCAGGAGAAAAAGAGGAAATTCTGGGAGCTAGGCTTCCCAAGTACCACAGGGAGGCAGGTACTTAGGTAGGAAGGGAGAGCTTCCTATGTGAGCCTGCTGCAAAACCGCTCCATGCATGTCACCTTTTACCCCAATCCCATGCGGACATCTAAGGCCACACTGTACGTAAGAATCAAAGTTTTAATCCTAAATAGTGCGTGGTCCACATGTAAGGCTACAGGTTGGCATTTTAGGTAAAAGTATAATTTGTTAGCCCCAAGACAAGAATACGAACCCACCGTACCTGCTTTAACAGACTTATTTAAGGTGCTGTGCACTGCTGGCTGGTAATTCTTAGGAGGTGCGGCTTGCTGGAGGTACATGGAGTATATAGAACTTGAATTCACTGTCTGGGGTCCTTTCCTGGGGGACTGTGGCCTTGACCCTTTATCAGCCAGAAAGGGCCTAATGGCCACAGTGAGCGGGAGTTCGGGTTTGCTGTCTCCAGCTGGGAATGCAGGTGGCCCTGCTGGCGGGTACGTGGGACTTGGCGGCACAGATATCCTCTGCTGAATCTGCTGTGAGGAACCTGGCGGGTGGCTGCTGGCCGCGGGGGGCAGCGGGGTGGGTTTCTGCCGACTGGGCAGGCCGGCGCTGGGCCTGGGCAAGCTGCCTTCCTTCCTCCTCTCCAGGGAGTTTGTGGAGCCCGGGCCCGCAGGCGCAGGACTTGGGTACGTGCCGTAGCTCGGAGGCAGCTGCTTGCCGACACCAGGGATAGGGGGTGGCACTTTACCCATCTCCACGCCCTAAATTTAGATGTTAAGAAGAAAAAGTCACCCTTTGGAAAGTTAAGCATATCTCTATCCATAGTCACAAGAGAATACAAAGTAGGACTTGTAATCCTTCCAATCAGCATGTGACCAGGCACAGGACACGCTGTGGGAATCAAAGGTGGCAGGCCCGACGCCCATCGGCAACAGATCAGCTCGGACACATTTACACTGGCATGCCGCTTGGGCTCAGGGTCCATGAACGTCTTCAGACTTGATCATATTTAGACACTCACAGGATGAATTTGCCTCATGACACCTCTCATCCCTTACATGAAAATGAAGGCTCAACAGTGACATAGTGAGGATCTTGTTGGTGTTTTGTGATAAAGACAAATGGCCTACCAGCTTCTCCGTGGCTCCTAAAGTTGACAAGGGCGTCGGCTGGCTGGAGACGGTCCCCTGCTTGAGAGGACCCTCCATGCTTGAGTCCTTCCAGTCCACACCGGTGGGCTTCACTGAAGAGCTGGAATTTTGTTTCAATGTCGGCCAGTTTCCATCATTGGCTTGAAAAGAGCACAGAATGTGAGTAAAATGTTTCCTGAAATTAGTTCAACCAACCTAAGAATAACTTCTTGTGAGAAGCAAAGATGACCTTCTGGGAGATCACATCGGCTGGGGGCTCCACGAACCAGGCGGCCGACCACCCCCTCCCCACACACAGGCCAGCACCCGGCAAGCCCGAGGGTGGTGTGCGCTGGCAAGGCATCGCTCTCACGTGTACAGAGACTCGATGACTGTGCACAGGGCTGCTGCGACCCAGGCGAGGGGCCAGGGGACCATGGAAACCTTGCTGGGCCCCCATCTAAATACAGGTCAAATCCACTACATCAACACCAATGAATAAAATAAGCACCGGCACTTAGCTTTTCAAACATAACACCAATTACATACAGCAATTAAAAAAATCTGTCTTTTGACTTCATAACAGGTTTGACCTGTACTATTTGCACAGTAAAAGAAAAATTTGACTTTAATCTGTTAGAATAATTCAAGATCACAAGAGGCCAGTACAAATTCCCACTGATTGGAGTAGCAAGCTATCATTCTTGTTACAGTGATTAGAAAGCTAGTCGAACCCATGTTTTTAGGAAAGCCACTGAAAAGATGTTTTGTTTTGTTTTTTAAACAATGCATTTTCCAAACTGAGAAAGGGTGTAGAAGCAATCCCTCCTAGCAGTCACAGTGACATAAATAAGTTACAGCTCGGCAGGGGTCGGGTTATAGCTTCTGACTCAGGTTCCCGCTCCTCCCCACCGCAGACACCAGTGCGGGACTGGACCCAAGTAGGGCAGACCCCCTTATCAGCCACATGAACGGAACAGAAATCAGAAGGGACTGTTTGGGGCCCTTCTGACAGGAACAGCACCTCCTCTCTCCTCACTCCACCAGCCAGCACGAGCAGGTGGGGAGAACTGAGAAGCAGCAGGGAAATCACTCTTCCTCAGTACAATAATGCTTGCGAAAAGAGCTGTGACCCGTGAGACAGGAGGAGTAAATGCTCACATGTGCTCTGAGCACAACTGCAGAAGGTGCCTCTTGTGCAATGAGGGGGGCAGAGCCTCAGGGCAACCCTGTGGGGCCCTGTCAGGGGAAGCCCCCTCCGGCTCCAGGCTGCAGGGTCCAGGACGGTTCCAGCCAGGCTGCAAGGGTGCTGGTGAGGCATTCGAAGGCCCCGGTCCAAACCACCACCTTGCTCTGCGTGACCGGGCAGCCTCTTCCAGGCATGTGCCTTCATGTCCCCTTGGTTGTACCTTAGGTGTGAGGGGTATGTGTGGGCCAGAAGCACACACAAGTTCACCAAGGATACATGGCGGTGGCCACACTGGGCTGATGGGGAAACAAACAGCGCCCCGTCAGACTCAGGAGGGAGGGAGGGGCCGGCCCCAGGGGTCTCAAGGAGTGTGGTCAGCCAGCTGCTCCTGAAATCCACAGCGACGGGAGGTTTTATGGAAATCAGCCACAAAGGGACTGAAGACGGAACTGGGAATTTCCTTCTTCAGGATGAAGCAGGGGGTGCAGAAGGAAGATCATTTATTTTCATTATAAAGAATTATAAAGGGACAGTAATCTTCAAGTATGATGGGAGGTTCTTGTATAGGAGCTAAATCTAAAGTCTTTAATGAACTCAGAAAATCATCTTAATTTCTCAAAAACAAAACCAAAAATCCCTTGCTGTGCCCACATCTGTCAAACTCTTCCTGAGGAGGAGCTGGTGTGTGTGGCCCAGCCCAAACTTCACACCTGTCTGTTGAAGGAAGTGTGGCATTTTTTTCAAGCCTAGATGGGATAAGCAGACCTTTGTCAGTTTGGAAAACAAATGATTGTTGGGTTAGCAGTATCAGAGAGGGCCAGAGCGCCCCACCGGGCCTGCCAGCCAACATACGGTTTGCAAACGGGTTTGCAGAGTGCCCTGAGGAGCTGCAGTCAGGCCCGACGTCAAGGTCTGACACTGTCCACAAGCTGGTCACTTTGGGCTTCCCACGGCCATCTGTGTGACATGGAACCAGAAGGACAGTCGACAGTGTGAGAGTCCCCGCGGGGAGATTTCTCCTCCCAGCTCCAGGCCGGGGCCAAGATTCTGTCCCCAGTGTGGGGGACACAGCTTGCTTGTGTCCAGTCACCTTGCACGGCGTGTAAAGAGCTAGGCTGCGGCTGAACTTCTGCAGGACACATTCTCCAGGTCCTGTAAGGGTGTCTTCTCCTGGCGACCCCTGTGAGGCGGCCCAGCACACACCCACAGAGAAGAGGGGAGATGTCCTTGGCCCAGGAAGTGTTTGAAGTGAAGTCAGCACAGAAGGACTGGCTGTGCTAATTACCTGCCACTGGAAACAGAGAAGTATCTACTCCCACTGTAGGGTGGTTCAAACTATAAATAACAGCTTCCCTAAGAAAGCTGCCCTTGGAGATTTGCACCAAGCACACGCTCCGGCTGGCTGCCGTGACATGGCTGCAGGGAGAGCAGAGTCCAGGTGTGTAGCCTATCCTGCCTGGGTCAGAACCAACTCCACACCCCCCAGCAGGCGTGGCAGACCTGCTGCTGCTCAGACCAGGTGCCGGGCAAGAGTCCACGAGCAAACAGAAGCCTGCACAGATCTATCACCAGTCCTGACATCCGCCCTCAGCGCAGCCCAGTTCAGTGTCCTAAGGGAAGGAACGCCATCCTGTCAGTACCGCGCTCCGGGATTCCATGTGCTGTGGGGAAATGCAGTAGCCCAGCATCAAGAAAGTCTTACTGCAAAGAAGCGCTGCCTTCTCACTGTTTAGAAAACAGCTGCCTTCTTCTGGGAAAGGAGAGCAGACTCTCGCTGGAGAGCCTGACCTGCCCTTGGTCGGGAAGCATCCCATCAGGAGAGCTACACGCCAGCATGGTGCTGCCCACACCACATGGTTCGGTGTGGCCGAGGGCCACCGCCCCAGTCTATGGACCTGTGCATCGATTACGACCAGCCAAGTGGGGAAAGGGAAGACCGGCCCTCGTGCACTGTTTAGGGACAGGCCGCCCCTCTGCGGGGCGCGCAGCTGTGCGGGGGGGCAGCAGGTTCAAGTGCCCTCACAGATAAACAAAACCCGTGGCATGAGAGGATCCGGTCTTAAGCAACTTGTGTTTTGAAAAGCCACATAGTAAAGGCGTTCAGCTCAACAAAGAGAATCTGTCCTCAATTTAGGGTCATATTATTACTGTGGTGGCACACATCTCCCAAACTGGCCAGAAGACAAAGTGCCTTGGGGGAGACAGAGGGTGGGCAGAGCCCGGGGTGCTGTGGGGGCCTCCTCCGAGGCTGCTGACCTCCATGGCTCTCCCCCAAGACGAGGACCCGGGCCACTCACCAGATTTGGATCTTCCATGGGCAGCACTCGAGGCAATAGTAAGAGACTGGGGCTTTATGGGGTCCCCTGGGACAGAGTAGCTGCCGGCACTGGGCACCTGGATGTAAGGCCCCACTGCAGCAACCCTGCCAGGGGTGCTCAGCGGCGACTGCGGGGACGACGTGCCATTCACACGGCTTAGCTATAGAATGGGAAGAAATAAGAGTTAAGGTTCTAAATGAAAAGAAATCACAAGCCTAGTGTGACAGTCTGCTCTCATGTGAACCACTCACTAGATTATGTGCTCTTAAGAAGCTCCATCATCCTGAAAAATCAGTATCTAGAAAGGGCAAGCGTTAAAATAAAGGCCACAACCCAGAGTCCCGTATGAGTGATTCTCTCTTTGCCATCTCGTACCCATCTGTGAGCGAGGAGAGACAGGAGCTGACAGCAGAACCGAACAGCTTCCCAGGACACCTCCACGGAGCCCTCTTTCCTAGGGGATGCCCTCCCTCCTCTAGGTGGGCAGAGGCATTGGTCAAAGCCTGGGCTCTGAGCCTGGCTTCAAATCCTGCTTTGCCACTTACTCACTGTGTTGTCCTGGGCAAGTTCAAGTGACTTAGCCTCTCTAAACCTCTGTGCCCGTGTCTGGAAAGTCATGATACAGCTTCTTGTAAGTACTGAACAAGCCATGCTGGCTCTGGTCAGCCCTGAAGACAGCTCTGCTGTCCTCAGCAAGGACACCACACTACGGCCAATGACAGTGATCACCTGATGCTGCCTAACACGAGGGTCCATAACAGGGATCTAATTGGAGAATCACTGACACCTTAGGGGCCCTGAGATAGGCTGTGAGAGATCCATAACCTCTTATAATTGTTTGCAGAATTCTGCATACATGAGCGTGTATCATTTTGGGGACAGGGTCCAGGACTTTCACAACTGCCCACCTGTGTGTGCCCACCTAGGCACCCACAGGTGCCTAGGACCTTTAGGTGGAGACACATCTATGCAGAGGCACCAATTTCTTCAAGAAGACCACCTGAAGTATCAGGTGGAAGGCAAGAAGTAACATTCATCTAGCTATCTGTGATGCTTCACTTTGTGTGTCAACTTGGTGAGGCATGGTACCCAGATATTTGGTCAAACGTGTCTGGATGCTGCCATGAAGGTATGTTTTAGATGAGACTGACATTTAAATCAACAGACTCTGGATGAAGCAGATCACCCTCCATAATGCAGGCAGGCTGCATGCAATCGGTCGAAGGACTTGAGAGACAAAGACTGAGGTGCTTGGCCAAAGAGGGTACTGGGCCTGCAGATGACCTGCCGATGGGAGCAGTGGCATCTACAGGCCCCCGTGTGTCCAGGCTGCAGATTTCAGGTGTGCAGCCTCCACAATCATGCAAGCCCGTCACTTCAAGTCAATCTATGCATTGGTCACTCTCCATATACCCCCTCGTTCTATTTCCCCAGAGAGCCCGACTGACAGAGCATAACTAAAGAGTGCTGGGTGAGCAAGCGTGGAGAGCACGTACACTTCCTCTCCCACGGTCTCCGTGTTGCTCATTGAGAGAAAAAAGGAAAACGATTATTTGAAAACACAGAGTTATCCAGATTAGCCACTGACCCTCTGGTTAAAAACAACAAGAACAGACCTATTTGTAAATAAGAGCTTTCACCCGCCACCACTGATGACATTCAAATAAGGGGCAGTCGCCTCCTAACCGCCCCCTCCACCCCAGCCAAGCCCTAGATGCCCACACTCGCCTCCTGAGAGCTGCCTTCAGTACAGCAGCAGCTGACAAGAGGCCACTTGTCACACTGTGAAAGCACTAGTTACGGAGAGTGGATGAGGGCACTTGGGGAGCAGCGTCCTGGTGAGCTGATGGCCCGCTCCTTTCGCTCTAGCTCCGCATGCAGGCACTGCTTCCTTCAAACCCTGATGCCACCCGTGGAAGGCAGGCCAGGTGCCACATCCAGCCAGACTTGGTGCCCAGGGGTCCCTTCTCCCACAGGCTCTCGGGATGCTTGTGCTCACTGAAGTGCCGAGAGCAATGGCAGGACTTGGGGGCACCCGGCCTGGCAAGGGGGTTGGGGAAAGGGGCCATAGGCCCTGGGACATGCGTATTCTACCGAAGCTTCAAAAGGAGCGAGGTAATGACCCGGGAAGATACCCATGTTGCAGTTAAAACAAAAGATGAGGAGAACAGTGTGAATGGTATCATTCTTACAATTCCATTTTCAATGAAAAATTAAATACCTTGTTGTCTGTATTAAGCAAAAGACTGGAATCATTAAAACTATCACCCTTGGAGAATGAGAACAGGGTGGGAGGGACTTTCACACTCTCCTTCAAGTATTTCTGTACTGTTTTAATTTTCCAGAGTATTTATTACCTTTGAAAGTCAAAATACCAAATAAAGGTTTTTAAAAAGCACTAACCCTCAGTTTATTTCTGCTGATTAAGAGTGTCTCATGGTTTGTCTCCCTCTCTGGTTTTGTCTTGTTTCATTTTCTTCTTCTCTTCCTCTATGATCCTCTGTCTTGTTTCTTATATTCCCCATTATCAGTGAGATCTTATGATAACTGTCTTTCTCTGATCGACTTATTTTGCTTAACAAACTGAGGGTTGCTGGAAGGGAGGGGGATGGAGGGATGAGGTAACTGGGTGATGGACACTGGGGAGAGTACATGTTGTAATGAGCACTAGGTATTATATAAGACTGATGAATCACAGACCTGCACCCCAAAACAAATATTACATCATGTTAGTTAACTGAATTTAAATTAAAAAAAAAAAAAAAAGCACTAACCCTTTACATGGCACTTTGCTTGAAAGTTTACAAAGCCCCTCCACATGGGTTATCCTAAGAATCCACATGATGACTGCTGGGGCAGACAGGACATACCAGTTGACAGCAAGGACATGCGTCCACACACAGGTCAGGGAATGTGCCCACGTGGCACAGCTTACAGTGGCAGAGTGGGACCAAGCCGGGTGCTGCAACGCCAGAGCCAGAGCCTTCCCCAGGGAGGGGACAGAACTGCATGGGGGGTGGGGGGGTGGTCAGGGAACACCAGCTGTAGCTGCGGACAGGGATGGTTTGTCTTCCATCCACCAGGAAACAAATGTGGCTTTGGAAAGACAGTTTTTTGCTACTGTCATTTTTTTATGATTTTTACGGTTTATTGCCAATGTATGTTTCATCAGCTGTGGCAAATGGAGGGAGCAAAATGCCATTATAGTGAAGCTGTGCAATTGCGCGCTGAATCATTTTTAGTTTATCTCACACAAGTATTTTCTTTCTCACATGCCTGAATTTTCTTCCCATAGAGACGTTCACGCAGCTCATTGATCCGCTTGTCCATCACGGCCACCTCCATGTTGCGTTTATTCAAGAGTTCCTTCTGCTGCTGGAGCTTTGAAGTCTGTTCCTGGTTAAGCTGGTTACGAATCTGCAAATTAAAAAATACAACTTTTATGATTTGCATTAAACAAATGCTCATTTCCAGGGAAAGTAAAAAAAAGAAAAGTAACATCAAGTACTTATGTGTGTTTATATATATGCATTGTCACCCATGCACTGAATAGTTTCCAGGTACAGCATGGATGAGGCCAGAACAGAGTTCTACATCTGCAAACACACACATTCTTCGGAGCATCCAGAGCAACTGTGCGAGTGATGACTGCGAGAGACCACGACTATGGCCCCTGGGAATGGCGTGTCACAGACACCCGCCTGGAGCACGTCCTCTAGGGACCCAAGCACACATGTCCGCCCCACGCAGTCCACTGAATGAACACCTTATGTGGGGACAGCCGGAAACTCACGAAGGATGGTCTCGCTCGCCCACCAGAACGTATGGATATCATTCTAGTGGACAGTAGCCAGCACTTAAAAAAAATGAACCACAGAAGGCATCAGTGTGCATCATACACACAAGGTTAAGTCTTGTTAGGCTCTCCCAGGTGCACACGTGTGCTAGGAACACACACTTGCACGCGTGCACCAGACAGGAGGCAACATGCACTGTGAGGTCTAGACTATAGTCAGAAAGCTTGGGTATGGGTATATATGGGTAAATATACCACATTCATCACCCAAATATCCTTAAAAACTCTGCACTTTTAACAACTGCTTAAAGTGCACAAGAAGTCATAAGTTCTTATATTTTATTTCTATGCATGAACAGCAACAAAAGCAATTTTATTCTCTGTAATTAAATATTTTCATTTCATAAAATGATATAAAAATATTTCTGGCAAGTGCTAATAGAACTGCAAAACTTGTTTCTGGCTTGAAAAATCACCTGATGAATGGTAACTTCTGAGAAATGGAAATCTTGAGGACTGTTCTGGACTGAATGTTTGTGTCTTCCCTAAAATCCGTATGTTGCCCTAACCTTTAAGGTGCTGGTATCGGGAGATGGGGCCTTTGGGGTGATTAGGCTGAGATGAGGTACTGAGGGTGGGGCCCCCATGATGGGGTTAGTGCCCTTGTAAGAAGGAGAGAGACCGAGCTGTGGGGACACAGCAAGAAGCCAGAAAGCAGACTCTCACCAGGAACCCAATCTTGGGACTCCCAGCCCCTGGAGCTGTGAGAAAACAACATCTGTGCTTCAGTCTCCCGGGCTGTGGAGGTCTGCCCCAGCTGAGTGGAACAGAGGATGTAACAACAGGCATCTAGCTCATCAAAACACAGTGTACACAGAAACCCTGAATATCATCTAAAGCTTAATTTTTTCCTAGTTCATTACATTGCCAATTAGATTCTGTACTGAATTTCTGTACCCAAAACATGCTAGGTGAAAGATGCCAGTCACAAAAAATGACATATTGCAAGATTTGCTCATATGAAATTTCCAGAATAGGCAAATCCAGAGAGACAGAAAGTAGATTCATGGTTGCTTAGGGGTGGGGGTGTGGGGTGATGGCAAAGAGGCACGTGGCTTCTTTTGGGGGTGAAGACGTTCTAAAGTTAATCGTGGTGGTGGATGCACAACTGTGAAGATACTAAAAACCATTTAATTGTACATGGTATATGGATAAATTGTATGTTATATGAATTATATCTCAAAACTGTTTTAAAAATTCTTTGGACTGAGTACAGTTTGTGCCTACTATTACCCTAGGATCCATTCACTTGTTTCCAGTTTCCGAGGCTTCCGCCCACGCTGGGAAGAAAGCCTGAGAGATGTTTTAACGTCACCGCTCCCCAGACCCAGCGAGTCACCTGTAGCTCTTGGCACAGTCTCTTCAACTCTGCCGCTGCCGGTCCCGCCAACTTGCCGCTGTACGACTGGAGCCCGCTCAGCTTGCCTCTCTTTAAATCTTCCAGTTGCTGACTGAGCTGATCAACTCGTAAAATCGCCGTCTGTACTTCTTGCTTCTTTTCCTGGAACATGGCGCTGAACCTTTCTATTTCAGCAGCTATAATTTCCCAGAAATAAAGAAAAAAACATCATTTAGTTGATACTCTTTTTTTCCATGTTTTTTTGTTATTTTGGCTTTGTGATTTTGTCTTCATTTCTATTCATTCAACTCGGCTCTAACATCATCTAGTGTCAGACCTTGGGGGGAGAACTGTGATACGCATAATCCAACACACTTTTCAACAAGCCTCTGGAACATATGATGTGACAGCCCACACGGCAAACTCTATGTGCACTAACTACTGAACACTGTTTTGTTAGGGCAACCCGTCCAAAGGCTAGCTTGGCCAGGCCACTTAGGAATCTCGGGGCACCCACAGAGCAAAGGCTTTGTAAGGGCAGGAATCCAAGTCGGCCTTGCTTGTCAGCAGAACACAAAGTAGGCTCTAACTGAATTGATAATAAAACAACAAAGAATCCACACACACAAAAATAAAAAGTGAGCATTTGTATGGTTTATCTTACTACCCAGATGAAGTTTAAGCTGTTCAATTAAAACAGACCCTCATAATGAGCACAGTCTCGTGGCCCTGCAGCCCCAGTCCAGAGCGCAGCTAATAAATTACAGATGTAACCAAGGACCTTCCCAGACCATTTAACCTAACTGACCCCGTCCTTTTAGGTGCAGGTAACAGAGCAAAACTTCAGTGCACTTCCTATAGCAAGATCTGACACGGGTCTGTGTGAAAGTGTCCGGAGCTGGACTCTTTCATTTTATCCATGCCCGAGTGTGGGTGCTGAGCAAGGCCGCGCAAGCGTACACAGATTGCCGTTCATAATTTTGCTGTAGTCTACTTGTCCTCTCATGGCACGAATTTTCTTCAGCTTATTTTCCTGGGCTTCAACTCGTTCTTTCAATTTCTGAAGCTTCTCATTCTCAGAAATAGACTGCTGCTGGCGGCGTTCCTGCTGCTTTAGGAAATGTAAACGCTGCTCCTAGCAAAAGAGGGAAACAGGCAACGGCGAGAACTGAAGCACATGATCACGGTCACACATGAAAAAGGTTTGGGTGGCTCCCACAGGATCACCCGTCTTAATGAATATTACAGAAATGCTCACGCCATCTTGTAAACACCAGCCCACACAGAACTGACATTACTGGGCACACACGGGTGAGCGGTGGTTGAGAGTCTGAAGATGCTTCACAGTGCTCACCATAAGACGTTTCCAGGTGCATTTTACTATGCACAGTGACCTACACTGCTCGGTTAATACAGACGCTTCCTCAGAACATCTCCCAGGAGGAGAACGTCAAGCCTGCGCATCCCATGCGCTCAATCTCCTCTCTTTCCTGTCTGGGAAGCCACGTCCAGTCCTCGTTTCCCACTGTCAGGTCAACATTTCCTGCTGCCACAAAGCAGCTTCCCAAGGTCCCCTAGTTACTTTTTTTTTTTTTTTCCAATACCCCTAGTTACCTCTTACAGGAAATGGGCACTGATGAGCAGAGGGTCTTATATCGAAAACAGACAAGGTGATCGGTAAGGAAATAAACCTTTAATCTGCTAAGTTAACAATGGACAGTCAAGAAGTGCTTGTTTCCTTTAGGGATAGGTTCTTCAAAATTAATGAAACATTCTACAGTCAAATAGGAACCGGACAGTCCTAAAATAAAAATATGTGCAATACTCTTCAATAGTCCTTTCCCTATTTCCTTACAAAGACACATTTTGAGGGTAACAGTTGACATAAAATACTCATGGTCCTACACGTATGCATAAAATAGACCTAAGTAAGAAGGAGACTAAATGTGATGATGCAGGAGTCACATGTTGCATTCTAAAGTCAGGAAACGTGTACTTGAATATGTAAAGCACACACCTGTGTTAGCATTAACTTGTAATTTACACTGCTGAAAATACCCAAGAATCTTTTTATTAGTAATACTCTTGGATCAATATTTGGAAAGGAAATAAAAAGCTGAACTAGAAAATGCTATAATTGCATAATACTATGTACATTTCATCTTAGAAATCTCATTAACGGGATGAAATACTTCCCAATTACTCAACTCTTATTTTTTATTCTTATAAATCCAATAAACTTTGCAAGACAACTTCTAAAAACAAGTCCAATTTATGCTTTTACATACCCACAAAGTGGTGGCTAGTACAATGAATTATATGGCCACTTGGTAACTGAGAAAAGTGGGGTTGGACATTTGGCTTATCGGGTCAATCTCTCTATGAGAAAGCAACAAGAACCCAGGCAGAAATGTTTACATATTCTCTTTATGTCGCAGTTTTTCATAGCAGTTTCAGAACATTTGAGATCATTACAACATGAATATTCTCCAGCATGCATGAGTGATAGGTCTGATTTTTTTTAGTCTGTGACAAGAAACATTTCAAATCTTCTTACAGCATTTCAATGACAAATGCAGAACTCGGTGTATATAAAAAGCATTAACTGCCTGGCATCGTAAGAAACCAAACAAACTCTGTGTAGAGCGGCACAAAGGGAAGCCTGGATAACCAACCGTCATTGTCCTAGGGGCCCATGACCAGTGCCTTCATCCAAATTTTATCTCCAGTTGGCGAATGAAGGTCAACCATTTCCTATTCTGGAGTGTCTGAATGTGCATGTGAGGGGTCTTGCTCTGACCCCTCCCCAACTTTAAGAAGCTACAGTATTCATTTACCAGAAAGACATCGTGTTCAACACTTCCCATGACGTGGTCCTACTTACAAGTGGTACTCATGAATGCAGTAACTCCAATCTAAAATAACCATTAAAGAACACCCTTTTTGAACATTTTCCCACCTCTGCTTTTATAACTCACCTTGGCAACCAACATTTGCTGCTGATTTTCAATTTGCTGTTGCTGCCTAGCTGCCATATCCTGGAGCTCGGAGAGGGTAAGTTCTACACGTGGATTTCCAACCTACAGGGAACAGAACACACTCAGGCTGCAATGGAGTTTTATCTGCGTATCTGCACAATCGTTTTTCTCTAGTGTCAGAACACATACACATCAGGATCTTAAAATAGCTTCTTTTCTAGAAGTTAGGCTAATACAAATTAATTGTTTGTACAGAAGAACTTTTCTTACTTGTTGACAGCTTTTATTAAATAAAAGCTTTTTAAATATGCCACATACTATGTTAAAAAGGGACCCAACTTAAGGGAATTCAAACTGCTGCAGCCACTGTGGAAAACAGTATGGAGTTTCCTCAAAAAATTAAAAATAGAATTACCATTGGGGTGCCTGGATGGCTCAGGGAGTTAAGTGTCCAACTCTTGACTTCCACTCAGGTCATGATCTCAAGGTTGTGAGATCAAGCCTTGCATCAGGCTCTGTGCTAAGTGTGGAGCCTGCTTAAGATTCTCCCTCTCCGGCAACCCCTCTGGGTCCCCTCTCTCCTTGGGAGCTCTGTACTATCACTTTGCTACTGCTCAATAAGCCTTGCTTAGCTGCCCACCAAAAAAATAAAAAATAAAAAGATTTTCCCTCTCCCTCTGCCCCTCCCTGGCCCCATTTTGTGCTCTAAAAAAATAAAAAATAAAACCAGAATTACCAAACAATAAAAATAAATAAATAAAAATTTAAAAAAACAGAATTATGATCCAGTAATTCTGCTACTGGGTATTTACCCAAAGAATATGAAAACACTAATTCAAAAAGATATATTGACCCCTATGTTTATAGCAGCATTATTTACAATAGCCAAGATATAGAAATGGCCCAAATGTCCACTGATAGACGAACGCATAAAGAAGATGTAATACATAATGGAGTATTACTCAGCCATAAAAAAGAACGAAACCTTGCCATTTGCAACAACATGGATGGAGCTAGAGCACATAATGCTAAGTAAAATAAGTCAGAGAAAGACAAATATCATATGATTTCACTCATACGTGGAATTTAAGAAACAAAAGAGCAAAGAAAAAAAAGAGACAAACCAAAAAACAGACTCTTAACTCTAGAGAATAAACTGGTAGTCCCCAGAGCGGAGAGGGTGAACGGTGATGGGGATCAAGGGTACACTTATTCTGATGAGCACCAGGTCGCAGACAGAATTGTTGAGTCCCTATATTATATACCTGAAACTGATAGAACACCGAATGTTAACTATACTGGATTTTTTTAAAAAAGGGACCCAACTTTAAGCTAACTTTTGCAAATGTGTATTAAAAATGACATTCCTGGGGCACCCGGGAGGCTCAGTCGTTAAGGATCTGCCTTCGGCTCGGGTCATGATCCCGGGGTCCTGGGCTCGAGCCCGCATCAGGCTCCCTGCTCTCCCTCTGCCTCTCTCACTCCCCCTGCTTGTGTTCCCTCTCTCTCTGTCTCTCCGTCAAATAAATAAATAAGATCTCTTAAAAAAATCGGGGGGTGGGAGGGATGGGGTGGCTGGGTGATAGACATTGGGGAGGGTATGTGCTATGGTGAACGCTGTGAATTGTGCAAGACTGTTGAATCAGATCTGTACCTCTGAAACAAATAATGCAATATATGTTAAGAAAAAAAAAGAAGAAGAAGAAGAAGATAGCAGGAGGGGAAGAATGAAGGGGGGTAAGTCAGAGGGGGGGACGAACCATTAGAGACGATGGACTCTGAAAAACAGACTGAGGGTTCTAGAAGGGAGGGGGGTGGGGGGATGGGTTAGCCTGGTGATGGGTGTTGAAGGGGGCACGTTCTGCGTGGAGCACTGGGTGTTATGCACAAACAATGAATCATGGAACACTACATCAAAAACTAATGATGTGGGCGCCTGGGTGGCTCAGTTGGTTAAGCGACTGCCTTCGGCTCAGGTCATGATCCTGGAGTCCCGGGATCAAGTCCCGCATTGGGCTCCCTGCTCAGCGGGGAGTCTGCTTCTCCCTCTGATGCTCTTCCCTCTCGTGCTCTCTGGCTCTCATTCTCTCTCTCTCAAATAAATAAATAAAATTTAAAAAAGAAAAAAAAACTAATGATGTAATGTATGGTGATTAACATAACAATAAAAAATTATTTAAAAAAATAAAAATGACATTCCTCCTTTTGGACTGGTTATTTAAGGGTATATTTGAATAAATGGGGATGTCCAATGATTTGAGGATACACAACCTAAAAAGTGTGTAGGTGACACCTGAGGACAAATGTTGTCTTCACTGCCACCGGGTCTTGAGAAGCTGAAATATACAGAAGATTCTAAAAATACAAATACCTCATTAAAAACACCATATATATGGCTTAAACCAAGGACTGACCCGTTATCAACAGAATTATACCTGTGAAACGAATACAAAAAAGTAAGATCTAGAGGAGTGGCAACTGATGGAACTGGAAGGCATGTCCCTGTCCTCTGTTAACGATGACAATAACATCAGGCGTTTTGATTGTGCTTATCATGTGCCGTGTGCTGGACTAGGTACCTTCCGTTAGTGAACCCATCTGAGCCTCACAGGGACACTCGCAGGTAAGCACTACTGTACCCCCATCGAGACATGAGAAAACAAGAGAAGTCCACACAGTCTGCCACAGATCACAGCCCACGTGGCAAAGCAGGACACGGAGTCCTTGTTTTCCACCAACAGTGTGACACGCTCCTCTTTACTGCACACACTACCTGCGGGTAACTACCTGTGTCACATGCCGTGTATGACCCAGTCCTTCTAACTCGTCTGTGTGGAGACCAGAAGAGCCCTACACTGGGTGAGGAATCGTGGGGGAAAGGTGAAGGGACACGCGTAGGGCACAGAACTAGCGGGGAGCAGGGCTATGATGCCAGCCACGCGTGTCTTCCTCCAGGCCCCCCCAGACCACCACTCTCTACCTCCAGGTTCATCTGTACTCTTAGGAACCCTTTTACCTTCCATTCTTTTGTGACCTCTGTTCCGCCAGCTCCAGGCTTCCCCACATCTTAAGATGTTCAAGCACATTCTTGAAAAATGGAACCAGGATTTGTTCAACAATCTCAACTGGAACCCCCACCCTGTTTCCTGAGGAAACAATATGCAGCAAGCCCCTTTTCAAAACTAGACACTGTGAACTGCCAAATACAGAAACTTCCATTGAAAAGAAATTTGTTTATTCTACGAAAAAAAAATGCCTGACAGAACCATCAAAGTGCCCGAACTTTGTTTTAACTCTAATAAAGGGTTGCTAATTTCCACCTACTGGATTTTCTGATCACGACAACAAAAGATATTTTTTGAAATCTTCAGAACTTTTTTGTTAGAAGTATTTCTGACTAGAGAAAAGCTATGTCATGCACCAAATCTTTCAATTTACATTAATTTCATAATTTTACAACTTAAACAGATAGTCTTTGGCCTCTCTTCCCTACCAGTGGTTTACAATAACAATGAAAAGATCACAGAGGAGACGTTCAACTGCTCTGCTGTGTTGTTTCTGGCAACACTAAGCTGCCATAGGTAATTCGTGTATATCTTCCATATATGCCAATATCCACTGTAATTTAAGAACATTGTATTGAAGTAGATCTTACATACAGAAAACTGTATATCATAATGTACAGCTCAATGAATCCTTTCAAAGTGAACATCCTTGTGTAACTTTATTTTATATTTCATTTTATTTTAATTCCAGTATAGTTAACATAAAAAATATGGAACACTTCACAAATTCGCATGTCATCCAGGGGCCATGTTAATCTTCTCTGTATTGTTCCACTTTTTCAGCATATATGCTGCCAAAGGCAGCACCACCCTGTGTAATTTAATTGTATTTTAAATGGATTAGAAAAACACCAGCCACCATAAACTTGTAAGTCAACAAATATGCAACATTTTACATGTTAGTATATATTCCCTTAAGTGTTCAATGTGAAAATTTAGCAAACAGAAGCACCTTTTCAGGGTTTTTTTTTTTTTAAGATTTTATTTATTTGACAGAGAGAGACACAGCGAGAGAGGGAGCACAAGCAGGGGGATTGGGAGAGGGAGAAGCAGGCTTCCCGCCAAGCAGGGAGCCTGATGAGAGCCTTGATCCCAGGACTCCGGGATCATGACCTGAGCTGAAGGCAGACGCTTAACGACTGAGCCACCCAGGTGCCCCACCTTTTCAGTTTTTTAGGAAAACAAAAACCTTCAGTGCAAATTCAATCCTTTTATGATGGGCCTATCGCTGTGCATTCTCTCCAGGCCAACTCAGCCCTCCTTACAATTTTTAATTCTCCATATGCACTCAATTTATTCAAACAAACCTATGACCTAATTCCTCGCTTATTTCTTTTCACTGCATTGAGGAAGGAGAAATCAAATCCTGTTCCCTGGGCTCACTGAGGTTCCTCCTGGCAGAGTTACCTACTGAGTTCAGCTCCAGGTCACAGGAGGATGAGCCACTTCCACGAGCAGCACAATTAGTGCAAAAGCTCTCTGGGTGCAGGTCCAGCAGGCTCCAACAAATGCAGGCCCAGAGGAAACACCTCCCAGCAGCCTCCAGCCTGCTCCAGCACCCTTCCAGCAGGGGCTGCTACCGGGGTCCCATGGCTCAGGCCCCACTCACACGACATTCTACCTCAACTCTAAACTCCAGAGAAAGGGTCTAAGCTCCCTATGAAACGCAGGTCGTGCTCCCATTTCTCACAGCAAACGTGGCCACCCAACTCCATGTCTAACTACTCCCCAACCCCCCACAAGAGCAGAGAAAAACAGAAGCCTCTGGCCCCCCGCCTCCATGACCACTTATCTGGTCATATCCCCTTCTTTCTCCAAACTTCCACAAATCTTTTTTTTTTTTTTTAAAGATTTTATTTATTTATTTGAGAGAGAGAGAATGAGAGAGAGCAGGAGAGGGAAGAGGGTCAGAGGGAGAAGCAGACTCCCCGCCGAGCAGGGAGCCCGATGTGGGACTCAATCCCGGGACTCCGGGATCATGACCCGAGCTGAAGGCAGTCGCTTAACCAACTGAGCGACCCAGGCGCCCAAACTTCC